AGAAACAATCCCTCCATATCCTCCCAGCTAGTGATACTCCCGGATTTGAGATGTCGGCACCAATCGAAGGCAGGCCCGCGAAGGGTTCCTACGAATGACCGGACCATCAATGCTTCGTTTCCGGATATTGCGCCAAGATGTGATTTGAAATAGATCAAGTGCTGAGTGGGTGAACCCCTGCCATCAAAAGGAGTAATGTTAATCAAATTAAATTTTGGGGGATAAGGAATCAGATCCCACTCCCTTGGATACGGGTATGGAATGCCCGTTTTCTTCACTTCTTGGGCCGTCATTAGAACATTGACTTTGCTCTCAAGATCCTGCATCTTTTTGTCCTCTTCCTCACTCTTTTTCAAGTAAATTTGAGGAGGTTGAGTAGATGATTTGGTCGGACCGCTTCCAGAATTGTCTTTATCGGGAGGAGGATCGGCAAAGATAGTCTCGTCTTCTTCGTCACCATCCTCAGTTGTATGTACAGGTCTGGCGTTATGCTTGCTGGATTCCGCCTTTTGGCTTGATTCCGGTTGATGTTGTTGAATTTGCAAATCTCGAACCTGCTGCATGGTCAACTCCATCTCGGTTTTGATTTCGGCTCTAATTTCCTCGCGTTGTTTAGCTAACGCTTCCTGCAGTATTTGAGCCAATTGATCTGGCGTGATTGCGAAAGATTCTCTGACTCGCCCAACACTGGACGCGGTATCATCCGACGCAACGGCAGAACAAGTATCTGACAGTTCTTCCTCTTAAGATAACCCCTCGTGCATTCTCTTGTAGTCCCGACGTCGACTGGCTCTTCGTTGTAACCGCGACATTCTTTGACATAGACCCCGCTCAACTCTCCCTTCTGGAGAGAAATCAGGGTCAGGGTTGACTAATAACTATTTTCCTCTGCCGGTCATGTTAATGGTGACCTCAGGGAATTCATCTCGCCGAATTGCAGGTCTCTTCTTGTTGAAACGTCTCATCGTAGGTCTTGACGCTTCAGTGGAAAGTCTTTGAAATACGGAGACTCTAGTTGAATTAGTTTTAGAGCATCCGCATTCTGTCAGCACTGCCTTAATGAGTCTCTCACAGGAACAGTGAGACTCGTTTTCTCGTACAGTTCTTTTTCTTGAATTATTTTTCTGATAGTACAGCTCATCACTATTGTGATTTGAGCAACCTATCTATGGTTTCTGAACCTTGTTAACATGCACAGGGCGATCAGTTGTCGCCTTTGTGCGATCCAAGGTTAAATTTTTAAATACACCCCCATGAGGGTGTGAAGTTTTCATAGGTCCTAAACGAGAGTGAAGTGGTATTCTCTCGTTTTGGACTGGTGCAGTTCTGACAGGAGGGTGTTTACGACCCCCTGCGTAAGAAACCACTAAGGGTTTATTTGCCGGGTCTGAGTGATCTTTTACTGGGGCTTTGCCTCGATCGTCAACCGAAGGACCGAGGCGATCTGTCATTGTGATCTTGAACTTTGATAAATCTGGACTAACCCATGGTTTCACTGGTGATACATTAGACGGGCTCGGAACGGATATTTGTGGCGCCTTCGGAACCCAAACTTTACGGTTATTTGGTGGCTTTTCAGACACTATTTCTTTCTTGGTTCCTTGTATTTGTTGACGACGGGCACGAGCTCGAGCGGCTTTTGCCTGACGTTTTTGTATACGTTCCTTGAGGGTTGAACGAGCTCTTTTGACGAGAGTTCATTCCTCCGTCGTAAGTTTTGCAGAAATATGATTATTTTGCCGTTGAGGCAATTGAACCGCTTTTTGTTTTCTCGACTCTAGGTCCGCATAATAATGGACCCCGTCGGTTTGTTTCATGGCCTTGGCCAATTGACGAGCACGGCGCTGGCGCTGTCTCTGACGAGCTCTTTTCGTCAGCACCGGTGAGCCATTAATCAACGACTCCTTGACTGGTACGGAGTCGTTTGGAGCAGAGATGTCACAGGTAGATTCTTTAGCAGCAATTGGGCAAGGACCTTCACCTGCGGCCTTCATTGGCATTGTAGACTTGAATTTTTCTTTGGAGATGAAAACTTCCTACACTTACGAGGTGAGGAAAGTTTTGATGATGAGGATGACAAGTACTCCTCGAATTTCGCCTAATCGAACTCGTATTCGATCTCTTCGTTGACAACGATCTTGATCGGTTGCGACACTGCGACCTCGGCAGCGAGGCCGCTGGCTCCCACTGTGGTCGCCAGTTTGTTTTCGTCGAAAGTTGGTTTTGCTGTGGAATTCATTATATTTTTGTTTGATTACAACAAATTCAAAGAAATAGTCTTTTTATAAGACCTCTTCTACACAACAAAGCAAAAATTATAACTTTTGAGAAA